TTCTGTGATTCTGTGATTCTGTGAATCCAATGTTTGGCATTGCTGCCACTTTTCTGAGGTGAATGAGGTGAGAGTTTTCTCCTGTTAATGAGAGCAGAATGAATTACCAGGGGTTATAGCTGGCATACAACTGTTTTCTAGATTAACACAGACTTTCTTTTATAAGACCATATTTTAATTTATAAATCAGCTGCAGTTAGGTGTGCAAGTTGAAATTTTTGATGGTGACTGTCTTGTTTAGGCTGCCTTTCTTAAAAGAAGTTCAAGCTAAACTATTTTGGCCATTTCTGAGGTTGAAGACTAGGAAAAATGTATTGTCTGCTCATTCCTGAGAGAAGCTCCAGTGCCTACTGTTTTGGGTAAAGGATATTCAGGGTTCGAGGGTAATCACTGCTCAGGGCTGATAGGGGCCAGTCTTCACTCAGGGGATGAGACTGAGGGGCAAGTCCTGTTGCATTTGTCATCCTCAGTAGGTAAGGTTTTGCAAAGCCAAGGTGAAGGAGGATGAGAGGCTGCGTAGGAGTACATGGAGGGCAAGGAAAAGTGGCATCTTGGAGATACAGCACTCCACAGGAGTAAGATACCATCTCGATGTGAAGATGTACAGAGAGAGGGCTGACTCGAAGGGACTTATCTAAATGATGGGAAAGACTATTATCTTGTCATCCAGACAGTCATCCAGAAAGTGGCTGGGGTTGGAGGCATAGAAATTGAGACTGAGATAGCCAGATGGTGAAAGCGGCTGCAGCCGCTGTCTGCAGCAACTGTGCTCTGTCCCTCTGTCTCCCATCTTGTCCCCACGAAGGTGTCGCTGACACAGGTTTGGGCAGAATAAAACAGATCTGAAGAATGAGAAAAACCTGCTGACTGTCAGTAGGGAAATGATAAATTGAATTTATGCCTGCAAATGGAATTGCCAAACAAGAAGGTCCAGATCCAGAAGAGAAAATTGCAGTTCATTAACAAGGATCGATTTGATGAGAAGATCTGCAGAAAATGAATGCGTGCACATATGCCTAAAAAGTATTGCAAAGCATATGTGAAGTGAAGGTTAATGAAAGTTGTGTAGGTAACTCTCTTCCTGGCAAAGCCTAAACTTTGTAAGCTTAGATTTGCGGACTCACTAATATGTTTGGAAGGTGATTTTGCATATTATACTGTGTTCTCAGCATCCTATAGCTCAAGGAACTGGGCACTGCTGAACTTAAGCAGAACTTAAAGCAGGATGTGTGATATATAATGAAAGTTGCAGACCTGAGGCAGTTGCTGCAGAGCCTGTAAGTTTTAAAAGGGAAACTGCTTTTGAGATGAAATCATGTCAGATGTGTAACAGAGCCTTTATTTCCCTCACTGCTATTGTATTTAACCTCGCTCATTGGGGGTTACCTTATCTTGCCTTCATGCTTATTTTTGTGAGGTGTGCGCCAGGGGATTTTTTTCTTTAATGCCCTCTGTGGAAACAGAGGTCTTTGCTCTATCCTATTCCACCTATTTCAGGGTTTTAATTTGAGTAGGAGAAAAGTCTGTGGATGTAATCTTTGTGAAATCAGAGATCGTCTTTATTAGTGGTCAGACAGGCTGGAGCTAGATAAAGCCTGATACAGGGATTCAGTGATAACTTCTCTCTGCATAAGTCAAAGGTTGCAACACTGTGAAATTTGTAAATTATTACACAATATAGAACTGATACCAGTTTAATATTCCCTGGTCTTGTGGTCCAGGGTTTGAGAAGAGAATGTTTTTACAGCAGAGAGAGGGAGACAGCTTTCTGCTGCTGTGTGGCCTCTTAGAAAACCAAAATACCAGTTTTGTGTAGCGCGTAGATGGGACATTCACCCTTTGTCCGTGCTGTAAATACAATTTCTCTGAAATCCACTGGACTTATGCATGTACCCACCAGCTGCAGCCAACAGGACTGAGCCTCATGCCTTTTAAAATCAGAGCAAAGATGAAAGTAGAGAGATCTAGATAACTTTCCTAACCTACCACTGCCCTTCTGTTTGACCCATGGTCATTCTTCCTGTTTCTGTTCTTTTCTGCTATGTTGTGGCTGGGTCTAATTATAGATCAAACTGCCTTTTTTTTTTTTTTTTTACTTCACGACTGCAGCAAAAGCACCAGTAAGAGCTTTTCCATTTTCTTTGATGGCCTTATGATCAAGGTCTGTGTAAATACCATCTGCAACCAATCCTGTGCATAAAAGGCAAGGGAAGGAGAGGAAACTGGTAATTCTTCCTGTGCACACATTTTCTAGATTCAAGTTACAAGTTTCATGAATCTGAAAAGACTCATCTGAAGCAACAGGGCAAGTCAGCATTTCTTCTTTTTTTTTTCTTCCAGTTTTTCAAAGCTGCTGATACAGGCTCTTCTTTACACTTTGCTCAAACAAATTATGTGAAAATTGTAGAACTTCCTTTAGAATGAATTGGGCTTTTTAAAGTTCAGTTTTGCACCTGTTGAATTTGGGCTGCGGTCTGGCTGAAGGAAAGGGGCGGCTCTGCTCCTCTGCCTCCCCCTTGCACACACTCCCCTTCACGCAGCTCGGAGGACTGACCTGGGAGAAATTCAACCCAACGAAGTGTTGAAATACTGGTTTTCGGCTCGGTTGGTCTTCTCATCCAGCCCGCAGTACAGCCTCACAAGTGGAAGGATTAACACAAGGGCCCAAACCATCACTTCCGTGAAGCTGCTGCCTTCTGCGTGGCACCCAGCCTACCTCTGACCTATGTCTTGCTCTGTGCCCTGCCATAGCACCAGCATTTCTCTAACCATGCTTTAGCAGACCAAATTTTATCTGAGCCATCGCTGGAGCAGTTTTTGGGGAGGCAAAGGCTTGAAGAAGGGCAGGGGGAGACCTTCTCCCTTATGCAGGGGGGGACCATTCTCCCTTATGCGGAAAGGCTGAGGGAGCTGGTTCTCTTTAGTTTGCAGAAGAGGAGACTGAGGGGAGACCTCATTCATGTTTATAAATATATAAAGGGTGAGTGTCACGAGGATGGAGCCAGGCTCTTCTCGGTGACAAACAATGATAAGACAAGGGGTAACGGACACAAACTGGAACACAGGAGGTTCCACTTAAATTTGAGAAGAAACTTCTTCTCAGTGAGGGTGACAGAGCACTGGAACAGGCTGCCCAGAGAGGTTGTGGAGTCTCCTTCTCTGGAGACATTCAAAACCCACCTGGACGCCTTCCTGTGTAACCTCATCTAGGTGTTCCTGCTCTGGCAGGGGGATTGGACTAGATGATCTTTTGAGGTCCCTTCCAATCCCTAATGTTCTGTGATTCTGTGATTCTGTGGAGAGACCATTTATATGGGCATAAAATGCCATGGATCTTTGTGTTTCGTAACACCACATTTTGATCTGTTTTAAGCTGTTTTGCTTAGGACTGCACACTGAGCTTCTGGGGGAGAGGGACAAGAAAGAGAAATTTGGTGGTTGTTTTTTTTTTTAGAGATACTTGCCAGGTTATTAGCTCATCAGGGAATAGAAGGATGCTTATATACATTCACGTGGTACTTCAGGATATGCATCCAGACTGCTGTCACATTTCACAAGGAGGGTGGTTAACTATTGTTGCTACAGTGATTTATTTTTGTTTAAATTTTAATCCTTCAGAACAGTATTCTTATGTATAGAAGAAACTTTCAGTTTAGGAATAAAAAGCAGGTTGTGTTTCTTTGTTTGTTTGTTGTTTTTTTTTTTTAAACTGGTGAGTTGTCTTGTTCCAGAACTGCATTGAAAATAGTAATTTTCTGTAAACAGAATTGACACATAATAATAAGGGGAAAATAAGTTTGCCTCTGGGATATTTTAGCTTATAAAGTACCATTTTAAAGCAGAATGCTGTTTCACATGGGCACTTGTACAGAGCGTCAGATAAAAAGCCTTTTCTTTTCAGGCTGTTGAGATTGATTGTTTCAGGGTTCAGATGTCTGCTATTTAAACAAATGTAATTATTACAATTCATTGGATATAATAACTTCTCAACTTAGTCTAAGTTTCCTTCCACTTCTCTTTACTTTGATTCAGGTAGTTGTGACAAATAGTCATCCATCCCTCTCTCTAAAATTAGAATACAGCCAAATGTAATGGGTTAATGGTTATGTATAATTAGGGCTCTAATTGAAACCCTGCTTGTGGCTATTTGTATGCAAAGCAGTCTGGAGACAGCCTTCACAAAAGCTTTGAACTGGAATAGCCTGTGTCAAAACACTGAAGTGTTCTCTTAATATGGTTTCTTTTGCTTTGCAGGCGCTTAAATACTTTAAACAAATGTGCAGTGATGAAGCTAGAAATTAGCCCCCACAGGAAAAGGGTAAGTTTCTTTAACATCTTCTGTTACAGCATTGTACATGAATAACGCTGAAAAAAAATCATCTAGCAGATTGCTTAGCTGCAGTCTAGGATAACACCTGAGTAGAACCTGGCAAGGACACAGTCAAAACTCCACTTACATTTCATTTTGTGTTCTCACAGTGAAAACTGCAGGGATTGGCTGCAGGTACAGGTTACTCATCTAGCAAACTCTCCCCGGGATGCTGCTCCCAGTCTGAAAGGCACTGGGCTTCTCTGCCTGCCAGTGAGGTTGTCCGTGCTGTAGCGCTCATGCAGGATTGTAAAGAGCAGGCTATTGATGGAGGAGGTCCTGCCCAGCCACGATGAGCTGACCTGAATGTCAGAACATTGTCTAGGGCATCATCTTCACAGTTTTGGTTCTTTACTATCACATCAGAATTTTATTATTTTGTTATGATGTAGACAGGATCGAGCCAATCCGTTGTAGGATTGGGCACATTGTTTCCTGATTTTTTTAATTACTTAGCTCAAAATTAAAGCAATATATTTTACAGAGTACATTAGGTACCTTTTTAGAAAGTTTGTTTGTTGCCAGAGAGCTCAGCAAATTAAAAGTGTTTCCTGAATCTTCAGGATCCCTGTGGAGGATGGTGAGAAATAAGAGCACCAACTGTAATTTCAGTAAGGTAGTACTGACAGAAAGCTGAGTTGCTGGGGCTTACTGGCAAGGCACCACTCAATAGCTGCCTTAAAACTATGTGTGTGTCCTAGGAGGGATCAGTTGTTGATACCATCCCCTGGGATATGACAACTGCAGATAAAGATGACTGAGCTAAGGCACTACAATGCTGCCCTACCCTTAACAAGAATGCGTACAAATGCTCTGAGGTTGTTTACCAGGAATTAATCCCCTCTTTCCATTTGTAGTATGTTGGAAACAGCATCCAAGCTCCAGAAGATAACACTCTGAGGCAGCATATATAGGAACTCTTTAAAAGTAGGGGTAGACAGCTGGATTGCCATTTATGACCGCCAGATTTCTCCTCCTTGTTCCTGAGCCTTGTTAACACTGGAATGATCAGTATTGCTCTTAGAGGTCACACCAGACCCAACTTCAGCTTCAAACCCCAGATCTTCCAAAGTCTGGTTGTTACCTTTTGTTTCAATCCTTCCTGATTTGCATTCACCACCCATGTTCTGGCAGATGGATTTGGATCCTATTCCCCTTTGTTGTTGACTTCATTAAAACCAATACTTAGCCTTTAAAGCTTTTTAACACTAGGGAAAAATTGTGCTGACAGAAACATATGTTTCCTTATGTTTGCATTGACCTTTTTGGAAATGGAGATCACTACTGCTCATTTTTTTCCAGTCAAACAACATTCACTGCCGAACCATCATTATTATCAATTGACAGTTTCAGGTGACTTTTTTCCCTCCTTAAAACTTTAAATAAGCAAGCCAGTCCTCTTAGGTTTTCATCTGAGTCATGAACAGAAGTAGTTTGTAGTAGCTGAGAAAGAAAGAAAATTATGCTTGCTCTGTGTTTCATGTAAAAATAAATAAGGTGTTTCATTATTTTCCTGAGCTGATCATGTGTGCTATTAAAAAAAACCAGAACACCAACCCTCAAAAAATGAGGAGAGGATCAGGAGCTAAAGTATGTATAAATAAAATACTTGAAATATGAATAATTTACTTGTTTTTCAGAGAATAAATGTCTGTGTTCCTGACACACAAATAGTTACAGTTTGGGGCATGCATGTGTGTTTGTTTTTAAAGCAATCTAAACAAATGGAGTGAAACACATGGACCTGGGTGGCAATTAATGTTTCCTACTCTGAACACCAAAGGTTATTTTGTGGTTTCATGCTGTCATATTAAAATATCTTCATTGGTTTTATTCTTCCAACATGAAATTTTACAGATATTTGGAAGACCAAATATGTCAGTCCCAGAATCATTCCCTTTCAGTATTTAGATGAAAAGATTGTAGGCATAAGTTATGTATGTGTAATTGTGCCCTCAGGGATTACATCAAACATCATCAGTGGAGATGTTATTTACAATTTACTTACGTGCTATACTGTCAGTGAGCTCTTGCTGCTCGCTATCTGCGAGTGTTAAAGTTTACCTGAAGCAAAGCTGAAGTAGAAACTTCACAGGACATTCTTAAAATGTTAACTGCTAGCCTGTGGGAGGAAGAGTGGACCAGGTAAGAGCCTGGAGGCATCACGCTTTTGCAGTGCAAGAGCTTCTTTTCCTATCCCATTAGTCACAGTGAGAAGACTGGTCAGACTTCCCGAATGGGTAAGGAATTAAGCCGCTACAATTCAGAGCCTATGAGAAACATCTCGTAATTGCAAAGAGGAGTATAATCACGCAGCCCCTATCAACAGAGTGTAACTTGGCGAGAGTCCAGAGGGACCCCAACCCCTGACTGACTCCAGTTTAAAATTTTATGCATGCCAGGAATTTCCATTGATCTGAGGGCTATACACTGTGACCAATTAATTAAAAGTCTATGGATACTAGGGTTTTTAGAAAAGAGCAATTTAAAGCAGATTGTATTGTTTGTTTCTTTTTACAAAGCAAATATCTTTTGTATTTAAGAACTGTTAAAATATATTGCCTGTCTCGTGTTATCTTTTCCTGTGATGAACTTTATGGCCTAACCTTCCTCTCCCTGAAGTAAAAGACTGTTTTCACTTTAAATTCATTGAGAACAAGGTCATGCTTAAAGCAGTTTAGTGCGCATTGTATTTAAATACAACTGCCTTTGCCGTTTGGGCAGTTTGCAAGCAGTACTTTCAGGGTTGTTCTTCTTTGCAGAGTGAAGATTCGGATGAAGATGAACCTTGTGCAATAAGTGGCAAATGGACTTTTCAGAGAGACAGCAAGAGATGGTCGAGGCTTGAAGAGTTTGATGTGTTCCCTTCGGACTTGAATACCCCCTCCCCAGAAGCTCCACACCTTACTAATGCCACAAGCCATGAGAGTGTGCTAACAGACCTCAGCGAACGCCAGGAGGTGGCTTCCATTCTGAGCATCAGCAGCACCAGCAGCCACCAACCAACCCTGCAGAGCGAGGCATCTACAACCAGGACTAACTCGGTCATGAGTGTTTGTTCATCAAGCAATTTTGTAGCAAATGATGACTCATTCAGCAGCCTGCCCTCACCCAGGAATCTGAATAGCTTCAGCTTCAGCACAAAAGCCAATGAGAAGAACACCAAGTCCAAAACAAAGAGCCTGCTCAAGAGAATGGAGAGCCTGAAAATCAAGAGCTCTCACCATAGCAAGAGCAAAGCTCCTTCAAAGCTTGGTCTTGTTATTAGTGGGCCTATCCTGCAGGAGGGCATGGATGAAGATAAACTGAAGCAGCTTAACTGCGTGGAGATTTCTGCCCTCAATGGCAATCACATCAGTCTCCCCATGGTACGAAAGAGGAGTGTCTCCAATTCCACCCAAACCAGCAGCAGCAGCAGTCAGTCAGAGACGAGCAGTGCCGTCAGCACACCCAGTCCTGTCACACGAACGCGCAGCCTCAGTGCCTACAATAAAAGAGTGGGCATGTACCTGGAAGGCTTTGACCCCTTCAACCAATCAACGTTCAGCGACGTGATGGAGCAGAACTTCAAGAACCGGGGAAGCTTTGCAGAAGACACTGTGTTTTTTATCCCCGAAGATCATAAGCCTGGCACTTTTCCCAAAGCACTCTCCAATGGCAACTTCTCCCCAACAGAGAGCAATACCTCTGTGAACTGGAGGACGGGCAGTTTCCATGGACATGGCCATCTCACCCTCCAGAGGGAAAACAGCGGCGACAGCTCCAAAGAGTTGGGCATGGAGAAAAGGCGCAACTCCTCCAGCTCAGTGAGCAGCCGCCTGAGTATTTACGACAACGTGCCAGGCTCGATCCTGTATTCCAGTACAAGTGACCTGGCTGACCTGGAAAATGAAGACATATTCCCAGAACTAGATGACATCCTGTACCATGTCAAAGGGATGCAGAGAATAGTAAACCAGTGGTCAGAGAAGTTCTCGGACGAAGGGGACTCCGACTCAGCACTCGACTCCATCTCCCCATGTCCTTCCTCTCCAAAGCAGATCCACCTCGATGTCGATAATGATCGAACAACACCGAGTGACCTTGACAGTACAGGGAATTCGCTGAACGAAACTGAAGAGCCCACAGGGATGCAAGACAGGAGGGACTCTGGGGTGGGCGCGTCACTGACACGGTCCAGCAGGTAAGAACACAGGTGCTGGGACTTGGAGTGGCCCTCATGAGGTCCCCTCCAGCCTGAATGGCTCTGTTGCTGCTGCACCACAATCAGTTAAGGTGCAGTAGTTGTAGCCATTCAAGCTGACACATGCTGTTCCCATCGATTCCCGAAACAATTATAGGCGAGGGAAGTATTTATGCAAGACTTTTAGACAAGTGATCCCCACATTTCCTAGCCATGTCTTTGTGTGTTCAGCCTGAGCCATCATTGGAAAGCAGCCCTCTCAGCAAGTCAGCATAAGAAGCAGTGTAAAGGCAGCTTTGGCAGATGGTGATTCTTTAAGCTGAAATGGTGTGTGGGAGGGAGGGGGACCTCAAGGAGGGTTATTCATTTTTCAAGTTGGCTAGGAGAACCCGTTTAAGTATGGTCTGGTTTGTGTCAGTGTGTAGTAAAAGCCTTGACTTTTAGACTGTTTCAAAAAATTTCACTTTTCAGTAGCAGGCTGTTTCATAATAGTGTGCTAGGGCATTAAATCTGTGAGGAATATTACATTTGTTTACTTTTTCTTGATTGCTGTAGCACAGTGGGGGAATGGGGGAGCTTCAGGGTTCAGGAACCTGAATGGGTTCAGGAAGGGCAGGTCCTGCCAAT